ATCTAATTATCCTCTTCCAAGAGGGAGCTAACCAAAACCTGAGTGTCTCTTTAAGACATAATTTAATAGCTACATGTCATTTTTAATTTTGATCATAAGTACTGGCAGCAACATTATTCTAATTAGCTCCTTACATTGTTGAATCTGGTTGTGGCATATCATGGTGAATGACGCTGAACCAGCCATCTTTCCTATGAAGAGAACAGGGAGAAATAAAATCAGGAAAGCACAAGATATTGGGTGGGGTGGGGAGAAGCTTCAAAGTGTATTCAGTTTAAACTGCTTTGCTCATCTTCCTCAGGGGTGCTCAGCCTTAAGTATACACATCTAAAGTTTTCAGCCCCTAACTCTTGTACCTCTTTTGCTAATGAGCTGGGATTGGAAACATAAATTAGTTTTGCTCAAGATAGTCTCAGAAAGGATATTCAAGAACATATGAACCATTTTGTTGTTTATGTATAGCCCCTGCCCCGACTCTGGGAGGAATCTTCAGCAGCTAGCAACCACAAGCCAGCATGGGCCAGTAATGTTCATTTAAGAAACATGCCTATGATATGCAAGTAGATTGATATTAAAATATCTTCCCAAATAGCTACTTCCTAAGCTGTGCTTAACATGCATCAGTCCATAAATGCCTCATTTTATTGCCAGAGCATTGGCGTATAGTTTAAATTGGTGTTTGCAGGAAGTCATCAAATGTGTTTTAATGATAGGAACCCTGAGATATCTGACTCAGATGAGAAAACCAGGGTGGTACAGTGGTTAGAGGGCTGGACTTGGGTTCAGGAGATCCAGTCCAATACCCATTTCACCAAGAAGATCACTTTGGGCCGACCTATCTTGCGACATAGGAGGGCTTTCTCTGCAGTGGCGCCCAACCTATGGAATGCGCTCCCCAGAGAGGTCTGCCCGGTGCCGTCCTTATTTGTTTTTTGGCACCAGGCCAAGACCTTTTTATTTAAATGATATTTTAACTGTTAATGGTTTATTTGTTGATTTTAAATTGACCAGGCTGTGTCCACTATTTTATTTTATGTATTTTAATTATTTGATGATTTTTATTTTTTATTTTTATTTTTGTATTTTATGCTGGATTTTATGATTGTAAGCTGCCTCAAGGCTCATGCGATGAGGCAGCATATAAGTTGCTTAAATAAATAAATAAATAAATAAATAAAATAAACATTGTTGTGAGAGTAGAATGAAGAGGAGATGGGCCATATAAGCTGCCTTGGAGTTCTTGCAAGAGGGGGAAAGCTAGATAAGAAATAGTAATAAAATGTTGTGCTTGCCTATGTCAAAAAAGAAAGAAATGGGGAAAGTACATTCTTGGCCTTTTAGAGGTGTTGGTTTCTCTCAAGCTGGATTTTCATATTGCTGTGGTGCCAGGTACATCAGAAGGGTATCATTCCTGCCTACATCAGTGGTTTGATGCGCTCAGCTCCAGGCCATGAGGTAGCAGCCTGTTTTTTGACTTCTCCTCACAGTAGCATTGTTTGTTTGTTTATACTTTCATTTATATGCCACCTACTACTGAAGTCTCAAGTCGGCTGATAGGCACTATTATTGCGAAGTAGATCTACCTGGTGGGCTCTTCTCGCTTGGCCCAGAGCTTTTCACATTGCTCCAGAAGTCCTGGAAGAACTGGTATGGGAAGGCACTTTGAGAGGGTTGTGGCTTTGCATGCAGGTTTTCAAGTTCAGTCCTCAGCATTTCCAGAAAGGACTGAATAAGACCCTTGTCCCCAAAACTGGTTAAGAACCTTGCCAGTCATTCATTGAGTGTGCATGGTAATTAATGAACCATGGTGGATTGGTTTAACAGTAAGATCCTATTCATCTAGTGCTTTGTTTCCAGTATTTTGTGTGGGAAGTTTCAAAACTGAAACCTAAAACAAAAATATGGAAAACAAATAAAATATTACATGAAATTTGAATGAATCTTTTACAATGCATAAAAGATTCTGTGTTCTAAAAGATTCTATAGAGGAACACTATGTTCCTTTATATCTTTTAATGTACAGCAAAGTTTACTGCCATTAGACATACTATGCATAAACATCAACAAAGGCAGCCCAGATATTCATGTATTTATCCATTTGTAAATTATAACTAAAAATCACCCATTCAAAACTGAAAGCTGCATCAGGTCCTCAAAGCACTGTTATTACAAGTGACAATTTGCCCTTGTCAATGGCCCCTTGGTATATCTGCTGCAGGCTGGCTCATCCCTTATTACCCTCACTGATCCCAGGTTGTCATAATGTCCAGACCTGGAAAGGGTGGGTAACAAACCACCCAGCAACCATACAACAGTCCATGGGTTCCAGGTGCCTTGTTCACATGACCTAGCAAGCCGCACTTCCAAGGATAATTATACAAAGCCCCCAGCATATGACTGACATTCATAACGTGGGTGGTGATGGTAGAAAAGCCATCCCTATGCTGCATCTGCTTCCAGTTCTAACCCAAAGTTATTTTCACACACACACACACACCCTAGACCAGCAATACCCCTCCTCATTTCTAATCCCTTATAATCACTCAAGCTTCTTCACTTTAAGTGCTCCCATTAGGAAAGTTACATTAGGTTTCTCAGGAGCATTCTGACCTGGCACTACATTTGGCATTTAGACTCCAATTGCCTGCACAGATTTGGGAGAGTTTCACTGGGAAATTATTGAAAAGCGCTGGGCTTTAAGACAGCCATTCTAGTCTTCCAGGGTTTGTTTTGCTTTGAGCATTAAACACATCTAAACTGCCTTTCTGGAACAAGTCACTTGTGATAGTAATCAAAACAAGATCAAAATAACATTGAGTATTCTAACAAGGCTTTAAAATAAAAAGACAAAACCCCAACTATATATTAAAATCTAGAACTTCTATAGGATGGGGGGCACTACTGAGAAACCCAAGCATACTTAATACATTCCAGAGATTCCTGTAAAAATTGCTAAGGACTACTAATGTTATTTCTTAAATTACAATAGTGCTTTCCCTCTGCAAAATTTTTAAGAAGTTTCTTTGTCATCACACTCCATTGAACGACATCCTCACTAGGCAGAGGGGGAAAGTCAGGCTGACAATGACTTTCCTACGTTTGCAATTATAGGCAAACTGTGCGAACTCCAGCACATCTGCTCAGCAACACAAATGTCACCATTCATAATGTGCTAGTTCTACTGACCAGTGGATCTTGACTTCCCTCAAAAAGCTTGGCCTAACTAGGTTTATAGAGATGGGAGTGTAACCATGCTATGGCAGAAGAATCCTGCAGGACTGGAATCCTTCATTATTTCTCAAAAAATACAAACAGAATTATTCACTGGAAACATTCAGTCATTTTTATAACATTTATATACCATCCAAAAGTTTAATGAAATATCAAGATGGGTTAGGTATGGCTAGACCAATGCAGGATATTCATTATCCTCTATTATAATTCTTCCAGTTACAAATATTGCTTGCATGTGCTCTTGTGTGCATTTGCATGTGTGCATGTGTGTGTAAATAGCATAACCAGCAATATTTCCGCAATGTTCATGAAAATACTCGTGTGCCAGAAGCTGGTAAGACACTCCTGTCTGTGCGCCCACAACTTCAGGATTATCTTCACAGGCTACACACCTTAAAAAGCGTACTGTGAATGTGGCAGCACATGTCTGAAAGCGCGTGTGTCACACACCGAGTTGCCTGGAAGCCTGGCTTCACCTCCTCTCGGCCCGATGTCCCCTGTGACCCGGCCGCAAAGCAGACTTTGCCCCGAGGAATGAGTGGGTTCTGGGGAGCCATTTCAAAGACCAGCAGCTCGTGGGGCGCGTCGGGACGCCAAGGGCCCGCGGGAGGGAGGTGGCATCGCCCTCGCCCCTTCCCTCTGCTGCGGACTCCCTCCCCAGGACAGCCCCGCAAGCCCCCTCCCCCACACGGCTCCCCTCGCTTTGTCCCCCGCGGCGCCGCGCTTCTGCTGCCGCCGAGGCCACGTGTCCCTCCGCGCCGCTGCCCTTTCCCTCGGCGCCCTCCCGAGCGGCGTGGAGCGCCCCCTCCCTGCGCAACGCCACCCGGCGCCGCCTCGCTCCAGTCCTCCTTGGCTCGCCCCGGGCCGCCTCCCCGCGCCTGCTCTGCGGCAGGCGCCGGCGTTTTAGGGCCGCCGCACGCGTACCCCGCGCGCTCCCCGCGCGGCCGGGGGCTCCTCCCCCTCGGAGGCCAAGAAGGCTCCATGTGCGTGCCGGCGGGGCTTTGCGCTCTGCCCTCGCCTCTGCCATTTGCGTCACTGCCGCTCGGAGCGGTCTCGGAGCCTCCCGCTCTTTCTCCCTCACTCCGGAGACGCACGCCGGACTCTGCAGCCGCCTGCGCCCGCCTCTGCTCTCGGCTCCTCCTGCCCGCCAAAGGCAAAGAGGGGGACGCGGCTCTCGCCACGCGACGGAACGGGCGGCGGCGGCGGCGGCGAGCGAGCCTCGGTGGAAGCAGCACCCATGAGAAGCCCCGTCCAGCCTTGACACCCTGTAAGACCCAGTGGCCTCTCCGGGCGTGTGTGGCGGGAGTCGCGGCCGGCTGCGGCGGGCTGGACGGGAGGCGCGAGCGCGCGCAGCGGCTCCTTCCCGGCTGCTCGAGCGGCTCGCTCGGCTGCCCCGGGGCCGCGCTCTCGGCTCCCGAAGCGGGCAGGGGAACTTTAGGTGCAGCACCTCGGACAGCGCCCGTCGGCTTCCGCGTCGGCAGCCGCTGTTGCCAGCCCCGCTCCACGGGTTGGTGCTGTTCCTTCCCGCTCGTCCCTGCCTGGGCGCGCTGCGCAGAGCCCACCGCTCCTTGCCTCGAGATGCCTTCCTTCCTTCCTTCCTCTCCGCGCTGCTTGCCTGCCTTCGGCTCCTGCTCTCGCTTCGCGGCCGCCGCTTTTCGGGGTTCCCCTCTCAGTTCGGAGTTGTTTGCCGAGGCTGGGGCGCGGGGGGCAGAAGCGGACTTTGCCTTCCTTTAACAGCCGTGTCTCCTTTTGTCTTCCCCTTACAGGTGGCACTCCTGGCTGTGGCAGAAATGAATGAAAGCATCGCCGTGAACAACTCTGGGGGCCCTATCCCCTGGATTCAAACCAGCAGTAGCAACTCTTCTCTGCAGCTTTCCTCCAAGCTCCCAATCTTTATCATCAACCCTTGGGATATTATGCTGTGCATCTCTGGGACCGTCATTGCCTGTGAAAATGCCATAGTGGTGGCCATCATATTCTACACTCCCAACCTAAGAACCCCCATGTTTGTGCTGATTGGGAGCTTGGCCACAGCAGACCTCCTGGCTGGAGTTGGCCTAATCCTCAATTTTGTTTTCCAATATGTGATCCAGTCAGAAACCATCAGCCTTATTACAGTTGGCTTCCTAGTTGCCTCTTTTACTGCCTCTGTGAGTAGCTTATTAGCTATCACAGTTGACCGTTACCTTTCCCTATACAACGCACTGACTTACTATTCTGAGAAGACTGTGCTCTGTATTCATGTGATGCTGATCATCACCTGGGGGGTTTCCCTCTGCTTAGGACTTTTGCCTGTCTTAGGCTGGAACTGTCTCGAAGATTACTCATTGTGCAGTATTGTCAGACCCTTGACCAAAAGTAATGTGGCTTTGCTCTCTGCTTCCTTCTTTTTCATCTTTATCCTCATGCTCCACCTGTACATTAAAATCTGCAAAATAGTTTGCAGACATGCACACCAGATAGCACTCCAGCAGCATTTCCTGACAGCATCTCACTATGTTGCAACCAAAAAAGGAGTTTCTACACTCGCGATTATCCTTGGGACCTTTGGAGCCAGTTGGTTGCCTTTTGCTATCTACTGTGTAGTTGGAGATTCTAACTACCCTGCTGTGTACACTTATGCCACACTTCTGCCTGCTACTTACAACTCCATGATCAATCCTATAATTTATGCCTATAGAAACCAAGAAATTCAGAGGTCCATGTGGGTTCTCTTTTGTGGCTGTTTTCAGTCTAAAGTGTCCTTTCGTTCAAGATCCCCTAGTGATGTCTAAGTGACTTCCTCCTCTGTGTAGTTTTGCACAAAGTGACAATCTTCAACTTCTGTGAATTACAGTGCCTGGTATGAACCAGATCCGTGTTGTGAAATTGTTGGGGTGGGGGGGATGTTTAAACATTAAACAGCACTTTTTGTATGTCTATCTCAAGAATGTGAAAAGGTCTGGAGCTTTTGGTTCTGTGAAACTAAACAAACAAAACCCAGTGTGGCTGTGTGCAAGATTGTACATCACATTTGTAAAGTGGAGGCATTCCAAGACTACGTAATTATAGCACTTTATTTTTAGCTGCTGAACTGCCAAAACAGTGTTGCCATTTTTTAAAGGGCAGAAAGAGAGTGAAAGGAAATGAAAGGTTGTCTGGTTATTTTGGATGTGAGTGATAATATATTTTGCTGCACAGTATTGATAAATTATGACATTTTGTACAAAAATAAACAAATTCATTGCATTTTTTTTATTCTGTGTCTCAAGCTGATTAATATCCTTTAAGAACTTGATAAACCAAACCTTTCTTTACTTGAAAATATTTATTGGGTACATCCATCTTAAATAAAATTAGTTATGCAGAAGAACTATGTCATAAAGCTAGTGTGTGAAATATATCATTGTGTTTGTTTTCTTTCTATTCAATAATTTGTTTTCATAGAATTCAAAACAAGCACACTAAAATCTAAGATTACCACAGCAGTCCTCAAAAGGTTTCCTCTTTATTCTTAGGTCAGAGAGTTTAACATATCAGATAAAAACATCTTAACAGAAGAAGTGATGTCTGATGGGTTCTAATTCTCAGATGATGGCTGCAGGGCACTGGGAATTTTTCCTACATGCAATTCATTGAAATGTGCAATAGTAAAAATAAACCCCATTCATTTCATGGTTAGCATGGGATAAAATCCCTGTTCCCATTTGTCCTTGGTTCGCTCCAAATTTCGTTAAGGCTTCTTTTCTGAGACGCCTGTGCAAGTTCATAATAAATTGAATTCTGTGACAATCCACAGATCCTGAGTGCCTTTTTTTGTCTCTGTCTGATTGATTCTTCAGACCAAGGCTTGTGCACAGCTTGCTGCTTGCTTGCGTTAAGCCACATTGTGATATAACCAATTTACTTATAGAAATGATTTTTTGCTGGAAGCAGCAGGTGAGTATTACATACCAGCTTGGAGGGACTTGCACATCTGCTCCAAAGTTAACAAACCAATACTTTAATATTATGATGTCTCACAACATGCATCAACATATATCATCCCTGCAGTATTTACTATTTATCTGGAAGGCAAATCTTAAATCACTATTGTTTGCATTTCAATACTGCAATACACTAAAGCTTTCTTAATGTGTTTTTATGAGTTTAGAAAGTATATGGCACATAGATCAATATCTATTGATCTAGGTTTGATCATTTTTTTCAGATTCCTTTTAGGTTAACATCATCTAACACTTGCATCTTCCAATAGCAGGGGCTCAAAGAAAAGAGCAGAGTATTCCAGCAACATGAAAATTGGGAAAACATATTTACTCATCAGCAAACTGACTAATGTCAACAAAACCTGGGAACTGAGTTAAAATGTGCTCATCCATTGTCAATCCTCTGAATATGAGTTCCAGGCACAAATCTACACTTTGAACTGCACTTGGAGAAAGGGCACTGGATTCAGTAACTGCCTTGAGCACATTGTTCCTGACATGTTCAAAGCTATGAGGACACATGCAAGTTTTGCTGTGAGAGTTCCACAGAATGCCAATCAGCTGTTACGAGAAGAGATGAAGGAAAGGTGACTATATTGGCTGTCCCTTTCCTACTTCATGCTGCTAAACAAATGAACAAATGTGTCCCTGCCAGGATTGAGAATCTTCTTAAGGCAGGAGAGGTTTTCAAAAGCACTGCTGTGCTGCTAGATGGTAGTGAGGGCGAATTATGGCCAGCGTTTAATATCGATGCTGTCCTTTGTTACCTCCATGATCTGTGGCAAAACACACCAGACCATTTGTCAGTGAAAGTTGTAAGGATCAAAAGGTTTTGGGACTGGGTGAACTATACATCTGAACAAGGAAACAAAAGGCATGAGCTTCCATTGCATGATTAGTGAAGACTTGAGAACAATTTCTATTTTAAAAAGTATGGAGTGATAGGAAATCTCTGTGTGGTGTTTTATGCAGGAAAGCTGTTTCATTCAAGGAAGCCATCATTTGACATCAGATGATGTGCATGTGTGCCTGAGCAGGGCCCTACAGCAAATACCACTTGCACTTCATGAAAGGTAGCATCACAGAAATGACAACATCCAGCAATCTTTTATGAAATTTGGGTAATTTCACAACCAGATTTGCAATTGCTTATGATGGAAAGTTAATGTCTTTGATGATTGCTTATTATTTTTTTAAAAAATGTCCTGCCTTTTTCTTGCAAGGTATTCAGGGCAGTTTACATAATCCTCCTCCTCCTCCTCCTCTTCCTCTCTATTTTATTCTCACAACAAGCCTGTGAGGCAGCTTAGGCTGAGAGTCAGTGACTGGCTCAAAGTTACCCAGTGAGTTTTATGGGCACACGGAGGCTGAAACCTAGGACTTTCAAGTCCCACCCCACATTCTAACCTCTATGCCACACTGTCTAATACCATCCTTCTCCACCATTCCTAAACAAAATTATTTTGCCGTGCCCTGACAGTTATGGAATCAAGAATAAAATGCACATCAACCAACCAAAGGTGATATCCTTATTTTTTAATTTTTTAAAATTCTTTCCTTCTTATAATCTTTCCCTTGGAGGCATCACATGCTTCTTGAATGCTCATTTGGTGTTAAGATGTTAGAACATGGGCAGAACAATCCTATATTCATATTATGCCGTAAATTAGGGTTGAGCGATCAGGGATGTCAGAGAAATTTGCTGTGGAGTCAAATGGATTTCTATGACTTCAGCCCATGGATTCTGCAGCAGACTGGCTTTTCCTGAGTTGCACAGATTCTGTGGACTAGTGGATTGGTTTTTTAACTTTCAGGAATTTTATGTAAATTTATTTGTAGAGTTTTTTTAAAACCTCAGAATTGTGTTTTTAGCATTTCCTCCACAAGCTGAAGCACAAAAATGCACATTTAGGGGTGGGAGGATTTCTGCATTTTTAGAAGAGCACATCTGTGCAAGTAAGCATGAATAGGTTTAGGAAACTGAAAAAAAATCTGACTCTGTCAGTGCATGGACAATAGAATACAAGATGCTTGACAACGCACAGAATACAGATGGAATGGATTTGAAAAAGTCTGTTCATCCCTACCAGATTTATACAGTGCTGTGCTGGCAGAACTCCCACCATATCTAAGATGGCTCAGCTTAGGAAGGAAAGAAGGAAAGATACAAGCGAAAATACAAAATCAGTGGGGAAATGATGGACAGCAATTCCCTAGCATTCTTGGAAGCTGCCCGTGCTCACATTATGTCCATAAGACACCCATACACTAGAGGGGACAATAAATTCACACTGGGAGGGACCCACTAACTAGGTGCAAGTATCCAGGAAGTGATGTTTTTGCAGGTCCTAGTAGTAGTAGTAGTAGTAGTAGTAGTAGTAGCAGCAGCAGCAGCAGCAGCAGCAGTTGCAATAGTAGTAGCATTATTAGCATTAGTACATTGCAGTTACACCCTATCTTTTTTCCTCTTGTGAGGAACCCAAGGTGACTTGCAGAGCTCCAATTTATCCTTTCAGCATCACCTTTGTGATGTGAACTGGGCTGGGAGTCTGTGACAGGCCCAAAGTCACCCAGTGAACACCATAATGGTTCATAATCTAAAGCCAAATAATTATACCTACTTTATGCTCTTTTTATATCCCCTTGCTTCTGTATCCATCCACTCCCCTAGTTTACCATTGGCACCAACACCCAAGTTCTCCTAGTGTTATCCACTGCCTTTTCATAGTACCTGTTTCCTTAAAATTCTTTTATGGAAAACCCTATTTTTTCCCATCTTTTTCTCTAGGCCTCATGGAACTGTACTCCAAGTGCTAGGGGGCTGGTATAATAACCAAGCTGCTTTTCTCTAGGCTCCCATCTGTGTCTGTTAAGCATAAAATTTGTAAAATTAAAGTATGAGACTTTCTAAACTCTGTTGCATATATATCTTTATTGCATTTATGTCCTGCCCAACTGACACATGCCTTCAGGGTGGTCCACTATCATAACAAATCCAAAACAAATATAATGAAAATATCAAAATATTAAAATAGCACTTCAAATAAAGGCAGGCACAGCAACAAGGATGCTGCTGGCACTGAAAAGTTTCAGGGCCTGGTCCCACAGGATGCCACACTGCATTAAAAAACCATATGTTAATTTTGATTAAACGCAATTTGAGAAATAATTACTAGGATTTATTTAAATTACACAGAAGGCAAAGTCATCCAATTAAATGTTCATGCATCACAGTTAAAATAAACTCTTTAATTCACACCATAACCCATATTGCTCCAAATCAGTAGTTTCCCTGCAATAAGAATTATTTTCCTCCCTCTCACTGTCCTTTCCCCATGGCTCTCCCCTCCTTCTCTCCTTGTCTCCCTCTTAGGGGAAACCACTCCCCCCCCCATCCCCCATCATGCAACTTGCAAATCAGGTTGGAAGAAAAGCTTCCATGGACAACAGTGGAAGCTTCCTCCCACAATTTAATTCCATTCTGATTGGCATGGTGGGAAGGATAGCCCAGCATGTGGAGAGTGTTGGGTTAACTCTTCCCTCCCCATCTGCAATGCTTCTTGAAAATTGTACCTTGAGTGAGAAACCCACTGTTGGCATCAACGCACACTCAGAACTCCAGAGAAATCGATTCAGGCCCAGTCCTAACAACAGCCTACACCATAGTATCTTATCTTCTGTTACGGCAACAGGGGTGAATGGAGTGGGTGGGTGTTGGCACAGAATGGGCAGCCAGTATTCATCTTTTTATTTAAAAATCTGCCATTAAAGTCCAGGTACGGCAATCCTTTTGTCAAATGATTCCAAAA